TAAAATGTCTACAATGATCAAACTATAAAAATAATGTGTTATTTAACATGGGAAGATGCCTGACAGTTCTGCTTAGCTGTGGCAGAGCTACTTGGAGAGGAAATGAAAGCCCATCCTTTTCCGCAGTTCATTTCTTGAGCCTGCTTCCTTCTCCCGGTTGGTTATTTTCTGTGTTCTGAGTTGAATTCACATTTTTCCTAGGAATCATCACTTCCTTTGCAGATTTGTTATTTATTTCATATTCTCACTGACTCTACAGTTCTCCTGAAATAGGTTTTTCCTGTTTGCGAAATAACTTCTTTTTCAAAGAAGTTTTCTCTCAGCAAAGTCGCTCAGTCAACTGACTATGTAGTGTACTGGGTGATCATTATGGGAGATTAAAGTAAAGATTTGCTTTTCAACCCTTTGGGGAGCTTAGGTGCCAGAAGGAAATGAGATTTAACACAGAAAATACTGATTTTCCATACAATTAACAGAAGCAATTTTAGCAATTCCTACATATCAGGCTGGTGTAAACAGCATTATTTCTTAATCTCAAACCTGCTCCACAGCATGGCTTTAAGCCTTAAATAGCAAACGTCTTTTATATTCTTTGCAATGTATTTTCTGGTTGCATCTTCTAGATGTAAGATGTGGTATCACCAAGAACTCAGAAGCACACAGACATGTTCTGGCTTCCCTTAGCTTTTGATTTATATCACCCACCCCTTTTATCTTCCGCCCCCCCCCCCGCTCTATTTCTATTTCCATATCTCTTTCTTTTTCTTCTGTATTGTGCCAATCCCTGCTGCAAGCAGGAAAGGCAAGTAGAGTACTTTTTGTTCAACAAAATATAAACAGATTTTTATTTATGAGAACTTGGCAGACTTACAACTTCTGGATCAACTGTGATCTGGTCTGCCAGCACTGCACCACCTACCAAACTGCCAGAGAACTTCCTGTACTGGAGCAAGCATGTTTATATTCCTGTGAATTCTGGGCACTTCTCAATAGTTCTGACTCACACACTAAGGTCTAATGTACTATGCAGACCCTAGGAAGACTTCTTAATTTTAATCCATTCACATGAGAGACAGCAGTAGCTTTAAAAAAAAAAGATGAAGATATTTGCATGCATATTCTGCTTGGTGGGCCTTTTGTTTGGATAGACTGGAACATTAATAAAACAATTTAAAGTCAATTCTGTTAAACTCACAGATATGGGTCTCTCACTTTGTGTCACGTAGGCACTGAAACGGCCAACATATAAATGTGCTTCCATTTGATTCCCAGTTCATCATGGACCAGAAATACAAGGGAAAGCAATTATAGTATAGCTATTATTCACTGATGAGAGTCAGTGCAGAAGGTTATGGGACATACAAGAAGATAAAAGGAAGATACCTTGACATTCCTAACAGTCACAGAAATGCTTCCAAGAAAGTGCATACCACCTTCTTGTATCTTATTATTACGGCCATAAAAAGCTTATTTGTTGGAATCCAGCGTTGAAAGGAAGTTTAGACTTAAAAACAGAGAGAAGGAATCCTCAAGACAGAGACAAAATGCTCCAAATAAAGTTGACATAAAAGATATGGTACCATAGAACTCCCAGCTAGTAGCATTGCTTCTACCTCTATTCTCATTGAAGGTAAAGGAAGGAATATTTGTTGACAAAGGGTATGGGTTTTTAGTTTATTTCGTTGTTTTGTTTTCAAGCAGAGTGTTCTCAAATAGATCACACTGAAGCAAGGTGCTAAGAAGAGTAAGGCACAGATTTCAAATCAGAGGCCTTCATTTTGCCACCACCACAAATCCCCTAAAAGAGCTCTGAGTGCCATGAGCAACTAGCCAAGCATCTGTAGAATGAAAGATGAGTCAGAATCTCCTACAAGGCTGTGACCCCAACAGAATTGTTCAATCTCCCTTGTTAAGTGAACACTTTTGGAAGGTGTTTTTCACATCAGGTACAGTTTCTTAATATCAGAGTCAATTTTTCAGGTAACTTCTCAGTACATAAAGAAGAGGAATTTTTCATCAGCCAAGGTATATCTTACCAAGAAATGAACAGACATGAACTTGGAAAAGATATTTCTATGGGTTTGGGTAGGAGGATAAGGTCATAATTCACAAGTCACCAAGACAACATTGTTACTTTCCTTTCTTGTGATGAATTTCTGCTACACATGTGCTTTCTTCTCTTCTTAGTGTCCAGGTCACTGTATAATTCAGGCTGGCCTTGGACTTATGATATTTGAATGCCTTTGTGCTTTGTATAGAATATTCACATTCTCCTTGTATATCTTTTGAGATCCCATTTTAAGCTGAAAAACTTCAGGCAAAATTGATTCTGTTCCATTTTTGTTTCCACAGAATTTGGTTGTATGTGGGCATCATCACTGTGTATAGTGGTTTAACTGTGTATAACTCAATTAAAACTTTGTATCATTCTTGACTACAAAACTGTGTTGAGCAAACAATTTGGTTGTGATAGTCCTTAAACCTGGTTTTATAATGCTTTATTATAAAAAAAAGTTACATCTAGTAGATATTTCTGTATCTCAACATGCTAAAATCTACCTATTTCGTCCATTACCTCAAAAGGCAAGTACAACTCCTTTCATCAAACACTTGTTCAACATATAAAATAGGTACTTGTTTGAGATGTTAACACATATTGGAATAAGAATTGGAAACACACGTATACCATAATAAATTATAACTTTGCAAGCACAAGAAGCTTGAGAACAATTTTATGATAAATAAATTATATACAACTATTACATGATCAGATGACAATAAGAACATGTGATACAGTCCTCTACATTACAGCGTAGAGTTTTGTGACAGGGTCTTACTATGCTATGTAGCCCTATGGCCAAGATCCTGAGCTTGTTTCAAACTCATAATTCTCTTGCCTCAGCCTCCCAGTCCTGTCATTAGATGTGTGGCCTCACCATTCCTGGCTACACTATATACTCTTTAAATGGTCAAGATAATAAGACAATAATATTTTATATAGATTGCTAAAGTTAAAAAATACTTTGGGTCTATTTATGATGTTGCTGTAGTCTATAATCACTTAGGTGAGAATGGAGAAACATTCAGAAGTGACTTTTTGGCTCATGGAGTGGTGCTGACAGCAATTCATCTCAAAAGGAAACTTGAACTCTTTAGGCAATGGCAGGCATGACATTTGTCTTCTCCCAGTGAAAACCTAACTGATTGAGATAAATGTGAAATGTTAGCCTATACTTCTGAGGGAGATTGCCTCCACAAATTATTCATAGCATCAAAAAAAAAAAAAACCAGACTCATGATATTTACAGTTTTGCAGAAATGTTCAAACTTCATCCCAGTGTGTATTCTTGGTGGTGTTTTTCTATCAGGCTCCCAACTGAATCACTGGAATTAACTTCATCTCCTTATGGGGTTAAGCAATGTAGTAGAAAGACAATCAAGTTGGAATTATCTGGACTGGATCCCATATCTAATTTTCCTATAGTTTATGACCTTGAAAAGTTATCTTAACTTCCAAAAACCTTAGTTTTGTCATAGGCAAAACGTAATATCACAGAAGAATGGATGTAATGGAAATCGACTGTGAGAGTCTTTTGTCAAGTGCCTTTGTAACATTAGAGAATTTTGTTTTTTTCTTTGAGATTGATACTGAATTAGACATTGCGTAGACTCCCTAGAAATGCATGTATTGATAATCAATTGTGAGAGTGGATGATGACAAAGTGAATCACTAACTCTAGGGTGTTTTTTTGCTCTCAAATTATGAGTCTCACTGAAAACTGATATCCAAAGCAACATATTTTTCATCTCAATAATAAAAGAAAATATCTTCAGAAGAAGACAGAGTTTTAAGGGCTGGATGCAGTAACAGAAGAAAGGCACTGGGAACAGTTTTGATGTAGAGTAAAACTTGAGAAGACACTATGACAGTATCTGGATCCTGATTCCAATGTCCTTGTGAAATACATAGGGCACACAGACTAAGCAAGACAATGTGAAGAGTGGGTTAACTGAGTTGAGAGGCAAACTGGTCTCCTTTTCTTTTCCTACAAGGCCAAACACTTTGAAACAGGGTGCTTCCCAAAAAGGCAGCTCTGGAAGAAGATCAGGAAGAGATCAAGAGATAGCTTGTCAAGCTTTGGAGACTCAGACCATGGCTGAAGATGGAGAACTCCCAACAAGGAATGAGTTCCTTCAGATCATTTCTGACCTGAGATTTTCTCTCCATGACAGCTATCTGAGATTTGCATAGAAATCTTTAGCAATGGCCTTTGCCAGTGAACTCTCTCCCTGTTATGGGAATACAGAGAAATGGTTCATGAAGACGAAAAGGAATCAAGACAGAAGGAAGTGGTACCTCTTACTGCTTCCGTACATCTAAGCAGACTCTGGCTTCATTATTGAAGTGCTTTAAAGATTAGCTTAATTCCTAGAAGTTATAATATTTTGGCCTAGAGTGCAACAAACCCAAATCAGTATTCTTCATTAGGGTTGAACTAAAGTCAGAACAATTATCTTCTCTTTCAAGCTTATAAAAATATCGTGGGTGGAAATTTTTTCTTATTATCAAAGGGAATTTAAACTTCTGACAAATCCTGCAGCAAAATTAAGTGTATGAGTAAGATATATCAGAGTTCTAATGTATTGCTTCATACTTTTTTTCCTCTACCTGTGACTGAAGTGTATTAGCACCTATGAAGCTTCTCAGTTATTTACAGGATTAACAAGATCCTTCCATGTGATATATATATTTTTTTCTTATGTCTTATTTGTTACCAGTTTTTCTTTGTCTCAGAAGTACAGTATATTGTTCCTCATTGGTTAAAATTGAAACAGTTTTACTTGTATATTTGGTCTTGTTTATAGTGACCACTGAAAGAGTTTATAGTCAAATATTTGGCAATGCCAACAGTAGTCATATTGTATGTCCAGCTAAGTTCAAATTATTGGAATCCCTTCCCGACACTGATACATCCTTTCCCTCTTTTCTTTTTTGCCAGAAGTATCGATACCAAGATGAGGATGGGCCACATGATCATTCCTTACCTCGGCTAACTCATGAAGTAAGAGGTCCAGAACTGGTGCATGTGTCGGAAAAGAACCTCTCTCAAATAGAAAATGTCCATGGATATGTCTTACAGTCTCACATTTCTCCTCTGAAGGTCAGTCATATTACTCATTATACTTTATAACTGCTGATTGCTTGAAGTCCTGATTGATAAAGTCATTCTTGTGGGTCTGATTTAATGAGGCTTTGAAAACCGTAATTGTGGCCACTGGTTGTAAAGATGCTTTCTGTGGTTTGGAACCCAACCTGGTATTTCTGGGAAATATTTTTATTACCATTGTTTGAGTGTCTGGAAAATCCTTTTAGTTGTTGAAATAGGGCAGAGCAACAATTTGAGAGTGAAAACTTGACAGGAAAATCAAACCATATTAAGGAAAATAAAAAAAACCCACAGTGGCACACCATGACTTGCTCAAATGCTCTCCTTCTGTCAACATGCCCAGTCTCTGATGAAACAAAGGAAGTAAAGCTATCCTAATCACACCTAATGATTGCCCTGCTGTCAAACTACAATGGAAAATGTGTGAGCTGGCTCAACACCTCGGTTTTATTCTGGGAGAAATAGTTTCCACGGTCATTTTCTCTTTGGTATCATGCTTTCACCAGCATTTTCTGCCTTTTAAATTTTAATTATATACAATTTATGATCACTAGAGTTTTGATAAGGGATCACTCAATAAGAATGAGACTTTTCTGTACTCCTTGGTTGCTGTTTTATCTACTGAACTAATGCTATTCAATTTTGTGCTATTTGATAAAAGGCTTGTAAGCACTCATTAATTTTTAAAAGAAATCATGCTGATTAATCCTTCAACTACTACCAAGGTTTGTTTTATTATCCAGATCACTGGCTTCCTTATCACATCAATGTATCCTTACCAAAACTAAAAAATATATAACTATAAAAGTTGTACTAGACCAGTGGTTTGCAATCTATGAGTCATGACCCTCACCCTTTCCCGTTGAAGGTCAAATAACCACTTTGACAGGAGTTGCTTAAAACCATCAGAAAACACAGATTTTTACATTATGATTTATGACAGTAGCAAAAGTACCGTTATGAATTAGCAATGAAAATAAATTTTATGGTCAAGTGTTACCACAATGTGAGAGACTCTCGTAAAGTGTGCTATCACTGAAGGTTGAGAACCACTGTTCTAGAGGGTGAGCAGAGTACTCAGCGAGTAAAATTTTTTGATTACAAGCATGAGAACCTGAGTTAAAATCTCCAGAACCAACATAAAAGCTAAACACACAGTACAAGATAATCACAGTTCCCTTACTGGGAAATGGGAGGTGGAGACCAGAGACTCCCTAGAAGCCTGAATTCCAGAGTTGAGTGGAAGGAAATTACTGACTTCAACAGGTTGTCCTCTGACTCCCAAGTATACTATTGGACACACATACCCATGTTTACACACACACACACACACACACACACACACACACACACACACACACACAAATGCATGTATACATATACAGACACAACAGTTTATTTTTAATTCTTTTGGAATTAAGTATAATTACAGAAGTTTTCCTCTTGCTTTTCCTCCCTCAATCTTCTCTGTTGGTCTCCATTCCTGCATCTTCTATTGTGCACCGTACATATGCAATTTCAGAAAATATGAAATTTCTAATATTTTAGTATCTTTAATCTATTATTAACTGAACTAGCTTCAGATTTGACCAATAGGTTAAACTATTAGGTCCAATGTCAAATCCCAGCAAATATCAAAGAATGTCTGGAAATGTGCAAAAGCCTGCCATTTGGGTATGTGATGCATCTTTCTAGTCTCATCAAATGCTAACAAATGGAAATTAGTGTTCAACCTTGAAAAGAAAATAAATTTGGGGGATGTGGCCTTACTGTTCTATATCAAAACCTGTCAGGTGAAAACCTTGAAATTCTGTCATCTAAACTATAAGCAACACCACTATGCATACCTGCCAGTGATGCTTGTCTTCGGTCATTGTAAGACTTTAGGTTCTGCCTGAACTACTCCAGACAGGTGTTGCCTCCTTCTTCTTGTTCCTAGAAATATCAGGGCCTGAATGAGGGCTCAGCAGTGGTTTTGTGGAGAGAATTCTACATGTTTTCCAGAGAAGGTGTCAACACAGCTGTCCTTAAAGTTCTCTCTGACTGAAACAATCCACGATTCTACTATGTTCAGATGAATATTTAATTTATCCCAGCTCTTATACCAACACCTATAAATTGGAGCATGGTAGGAATGGAAGACTGCATTGCATTGAGCACTTGTGTTTGATTTATTATTCCTAACTGGTTGAATGACTCCCTGTAGGAACCTCCATAGATAGGCTGCAAAAATGGCTAAGTGAATAAAGCATTTGCCACACAGAACAGGTTTGAATTCTCAAGACTCACATAAAGCCAGATGATATAGAGTGTATATCTGTAATTTCTATGACAACATGGAATGCCAAGAGAAGAGAATCCCTGGAAATCCTCCTTAGGACTGCTTGCCTGGCATGTGCAACAGCAAACCAAAAGAGACAGTTTTCAAACAAGTTGGAAGTTGAAGAAAACAGAGGTTGGCCCCTGACCTCTACATGGACAACATGGTGCCTATATCCACCCCCTAGCCTCTCCCTACTTATAGAAAAACTGCATCACCTCCATGGGACATCTGAACATTCCCTCTTTAGTCAGCTCTAGTGCATAGTTTCAAAAGAGTTGTGACTATACAGCAGTCAAACTAAAGCTATCATGGTTGCTGTAGAAAAGAATAAACAGAGTAAAAATAAGTGTGGAACCTTAAATTGTGTCATTGTCTTCAACATATGCATTATACATAAGAAAAAGATCCAGGAAGTTTGTTTTGTTTGGTGATTTTCATCTTCCTCCCTTACACCACTCAACCCTGAATTTGGAAAATGTCTATTAGAGCTTGAAAAGTCTTAAAAGCTTACTTTTTCTACAAATTAATCCAGCATGCTTTTGTGTGTACATTGTATGTATGAGTGTGTGTGTGTGTGTGTGTGGTTTTTCTTTTATAGGTATTTTTTTCAATTGATCCTTTATAGAATAGCTATCTTTAATTTCAGTGATTTATTTCTAAGTTTTAGTTGTTATTACTATATATGGGTATATAGTGTGTAGGATGCATGTGTGTGTATATATATATATATATATATGTGTGTGTGTGTGTGTGTGTGTGTGTGTGTGTGTGTGTGTGTAGGCCAGGGGAGTCAGTTCCTTCCTTTCACCTTTAGCTGGACTCTAAGGATCAAACTCAGGTCACCTGGCTTGCATAGCCAGCGATTTTACCAATGAGCTGTGTTACCAACCCAAGTACAACAGTTTTATTTTGGGTTTCCTGTTTGATTGATTTACCTTATAACTTATTGTGTTATTCTACTTTTATTAGTTTTCATGATTTTACCATAGAGATGATTTCTATTGAAGTTCCCACATGCCAGATTTTAAAGACGCTATGTATGAATAATTAACCTCTCATATGAAATGCCAAGGATAGAAATGGTTTTTCTACTCTTGTTGGTGCTATGGATTCAGGATGAGTATCATTCAAGATATTTTAAAAAGGACAAATCAGTTTACCCAGGACTTATTCTGAGACAATGAAGTACCCCCTGTGAAACCAGGATTTGTTTTCTTTGAGTGTCCTACAGATGTTGTACTAAACAGGTCATTCTTTAGAAGATTCAGGGAGAAAAGTCTGTGACTGTTTCCTCTGGCAGCAGAGATAATAAATATACATAGCTATGAAGACAAATAGCCCAGTTTATGGGGCCTACCAGTGTCATAATATGCATGTCATGGTTGATTCAGGCCAATGACTTAAGCGAATGAAAATACTTGGAAAGACATACATGAAGGGCTCACCTACTAGTATGAGTAGCTTCAACATAGCCAGGCACATCAGGCCTAAGCCCATGCATCTCCATAGGTGCAGGACCTATTTTCTCATCAAGGTGGTAAGCTGCATTTCCACAGGTGTGGTGTTTGGACAACCTGCCATGATTAAACACCAGGTTGTTTTCACACAAAGGAAACATAAAATCAGGAAAATGCTAAGCAGGTACAAATTCTCAATTAGAATTGCCATGTTTTCAACTTTGTTGCCTCTCCTGATCTGTCTAGTATTCCTGGATAAAATACTGTAAAGAGGCTAGACAAAAGAAGCAGAGCACACAACCAGAGAATGACCCCAGAATCCTCCTCTAAGCAAACTTGGCAGATCTCTGATATTAATCAAGAATTTGCATATAGCATGTCAAAAACAGAATATGAGATGGCCAAATAACAGTTTGGATGCCACACTGAGCAGGCTCTGACTCAGCTGACTAATCTCAGGTTTTAAGGTTTTATATCATTTCTCCCCTTCTATCAGCTAATGCTTTAGTCTTAAGATCCTTGTCTTTGGAGCACACCAGCTGCCCGGGTGATAAATGAACTTGCTTTGCTAGTTTTCATTAAAGTGCCTGGGCCAGTGTGAAGCATGAGGTTGGGGAGAGATGTGCAATTTAGCAATGAATTTAAGGGAATTTGTTTTCCTTGCCACAAGATTGGGATGCTTTTTCTTCAGTTCCATAAAAGAATGTTCCATAAAAGAAATCAGCTTATAACCAAAATAAAAAATAAGCTGGCCTTTAATAAACTATGAGGAGTTTTCTTTCTAGCTTATATCTATTTTCTAAGTCTAAAGTAGAGTCTGCTGTATGAATTGGTGATGGTGAGGCAGAGAGTGTGGATTTAAATGTGCATATCACTTCCTTGGGAAGTTGAATAATAATTACTTTTTAGTCTTTCTTAATCTGAAAAACTCAGATCTTTCTATCTTAAATACAGTCACATCTCAGGTGCCAGGGAATTAATCAACTAAGTGAGGATTAATTTCTGTCCCACTCTTCATTACCTAATGTCACTGATACAGAGCAGATATAGATTCATGTATCAATGTATCTGAAGTCTCATGTATCAACATATCTAAAATCTGGCCATGTCCTAATATCTGTGGTCTCTTGTAAATAAAGTTGATGGCGTTTTTTAAGGATCCATTAAAATTTCTAATAGTAATCTGAGAATCAGCAGTCATTGACTATGAAAAT